ATTTTTTCTGGATAGATACATTACATCTATTTATAAGTGATGGCACTGCTGCTCTCTTACTTTCAATTTGTGGTGGAACGCAGTGTCAAGAAAAAGTTTTTTGAATGAAGCAACGGTAACTGCTTAGCTGATTCTGCAACAGAGAATATTCATAGTCTAATTTCGGTTTAGTTCAGTCCGATGAAATCGCAAAAGCAATTCAAAAGTTTCTAGATCAGATCGATCAGATTATTGCGGCGAGAGAATATGTTTTTTGTGGCTTATAATGAAAGAACGCAAATCTTAGGTAACTAGATATCCATAACTAGATATTTCAAAGATAAAAGAAGTACGGTCAGCATAGGTGCCAAGCCGGAGTAATAATAGCTAGTTAACAAAGATGGAAGAGAAGAGAGTATTTCGCAAAATAAAGAAGAAATTGATGTAATAAGAAGTTTATAGCTTATAAAAGGCCGAGTTTCTGATTATGTAAAGAAGGAGACAAAAAATAATGGTTTTTAGTTTTTTAGCTTTGAAATTTCTGTTCTTTGTTTTGTTTATCGACTTTATTTCTGCCTGATTTTTATTGTGGTAAGGCTTTGTAAATATTGCCTAACTCTATAAATAACTTATTTTTTCGCTAAACTGTATTGCTGTAGTAAACATTGGTTTATTCATCTTGACTTAATACGATGACTTAGATGTTGAAAATCTGCTGAGCAATTTCTTTTCTCATTAATTCTATTTTAGACAAACTTTGATTTGAAATCCCAAAAAATGTCATTAGCTTTCTTTTTTCTTTTTTACCTTCTTTTTTTTACCTTTTTTTTTACCTTCTTTTTTTTACCTTCTTTTTTTTTACCTTTTTTTTACCTTCTTTTATTCATAGTAAACCTGTTTAGCCAACACTTTTTTCACCTTTTAAAACCACATGATATAAAGTAGTTTGATATCAACTGTAGCCGCAGTGATCTAAAAGTATTCTTCTCTTTCATTTTGGAGTTTTAGTTCTTTAAAAATTCCTACAATGTTCGGTGAAAGTTTATATCGCACAACTGCCATCACCGCTTTTCTTTTATCTTTTTCTATATCTATAACCCCTTGGCCTGTAAGTATGCCTGTTTTAAAAATGTTCTTAAATTACCACTTCTATCAGCCGCTGCAGTGGATTCCTGCTAATTTTGGATAGAGAAAAAACATATTGTTTTCCTTGCTATCTTACCGTTTCCACAAAGTCCCCATTACTTCTAAAAGTTAACTTCACCATGAATGTGACAAGATGTTACAGTTTATTCAACCTTCTTCATGCAGAAGTCTTTTTTGTTTTTGGCTCAAAACGAGCATTTTTAAAGGCTTTCCACTAAATTGCGCTATTTTGGGCTTGATAAACTTTGGCCAAAGGTGAACTTCCAGTGAACAGTTATGAAGAACTGGGCGCTCATGCGCCTTTGTAATTGTAAAAAAACTATCCTCTTTTGTATTTTAAAAAAAACTTTATTTCATTCAAAAAATGAATAGGTGGTAAGGTGTAAAATGAATTTTTCAAACCTAAATTGTTTCTTCAACAATCTCTTGATTGGTATTTTCGCAACTACTCTAGATCTGGTCGGCAGTGAGACTACACAGCGTTCAAGAGTAAAATTTTCTTCTGGAGTAAAATTTTTATACGGTCCGTAATTCCTTCTGTCCATTGGTGAACTTTTAGCAAAAATGTTCTTAAATGGCAGAAAAATCATGGCTTTTATAAAATTCAAGCAATTTGACAGCACAAAGGAAAAGTGAGCCACCAGAATATTTAATGAACGTTTTACCATGTAACACTAGTAAAAAGTTATCTTGACTAATTTTAACTTATAACTGTTCACTTCGCTGCCAGCTGGTAGACATCAGCCTTCAGGTTGCTTGTCAGATTAAGAAAAGTCTTTTTAATATTGACTAGGTTCTTGTCTAACAATTTGCTAATTGTGCTATTCTTCTGCAGTCAGCAGACTGTTGTTGCGTGGCATGTTTGCCACAATATAAATGTCTTGTATATGAGGTTTTGCTCAGTTTCTATTGAATAAAACTTTAAAGACTCATTTGTCTGTTATTGCACATTTTTATTAGAACTCTTGATGGCTTCAAAAGTTCAGAAAAAGTTTTTTAAAGTAAGTTCGTTGTCATACGACTCAGTTTTTCATTTTTAATGCTAAGTAGACTGGCACATTAGCATAAGCTTTCTTCTAAATAAAGAAAGCCAACTGTTTACCATTCAGAACGAAATAAATAGCAGCAATTACGACACCACTTCTGAGCGGGCTGTTCAATCAAGTAATATTTCAGATTTTTCAAGTGAGTAAAGTCATGTCCTTATCAATCCTTTTGTTTGTGCTGTAATAGCGCAAAAGAGATCAGTTTTTATCATTTTAAACTGGTTAATTCTAATCTCAGGTATCAGGTTTTTTCCCACTTTTAAATAAAAACTAAATTTTGGTTTTGATCCCGCTTCATTTAAAAAATTATGTTAGAAGCTAGCTTCTCAAGAAATTATTAGTAAAGTTTAAAAAAAACAGACTTCTAGCTTTAAATGATTACATCCGAGAACCCATAACTTATTTCGTTTTGCTCGTGTTTTGATGTTTTTTGGTTTATTCACTAACACCGTTTTACAAAAATTTAAACTTTCCTCACCGGTCAAAAGCATCATTACTTACAGCATCCAGACCACTTTTAATGTATGCGCCCCTCTGATACTTCCAAGGTTAAAGAATTAACTACCACACCATGGTCGCCATGTGAAAATATAAAAATGAAAAGCCTTCTTCAGTACTCTCTTCGTCTTCATTCTGTAGCTTTCAATCCTGTAATGACAGCTATCAAAAATTTTGATGCTTTCTGCAACGTAAGACTACATGTCATATGCGTTGTCAGGAAAATATTAAGAAAAATTTCTTTCTGCTACCTTCGTTTAAACTTTGTTTTAGATGCAATCGCTAGCTTCTTTTCTTTTTGCAAATAAATTAAATAGGTATTTTTTTACTGGTAAAGAATATAGTTCATTATATAAATCATAAACCACCGACATCTCTAAAAGGTTAGCGAAGTTGTATGTATACCTTAGATAACAGCTGTGATGAGCTAGAATAAGTATTCTCTGAGCCTTAACAGAAAATAACTCAACGAACAACCTATTTTTGGAAGTAATTTTTGCTAATTCCAAAATTCAGCGCGAAGCGCTGCTAGTTGTTGGGAATTTTTTTAGGGTCGGAATTCTTGACATTAAAACATAAAAACCGAGTCCTTCACACAAACAGCAAGCATTTCCAAATGGAAATATAATTTTCTTTTGGACGGTAGCTAATTTAGCCAAACTGTGATATGGGCAAATCCTGGAAATTCATTGAATTTTTTTTTTTCTAATGTTTTCCCTTCCTAATTTCTTCGGTAAACGCTTAGCATATATATTCAACCAAACTGAATGTAGGGTTTTTAGTAATTCTCAAAAATTATGAAACTGATCTACAATCATGACCTTGCTGTGAATTCCAATCACTTAATAAGCACAGTTACTCTTACCACTAAACTGCAGATTTTTCTGCTCACATTAGTGTCACGAATTGTAGCATCCTCGAGGTCACGATAGTCAGGCTTGTACTTCTTCCACAAACTCTTCTTACCTAGAAAAGACTAAAGGTGCAGGTGTCCTACTAAGACTCCAAGTGTCCAGACTTTTACGTTTTTTTTTGCGGTGCTTGATTTTTCGTTATCTTTTTTTACTTCTACCCCTGCATTAGTAAATACTCTTCAGTCTTCCGCGTGCTCAATGTTTCAGTACCAGATTTCTCTTATTTAATCGGAGCATCCTTTACTAAATTCTTCAAGATCTACTTAATGACATCTTAATAATGCTACTTACACCAATACCCCAAAATGCAGATGGTTTCAAAGTGGACGAAACAAAAAGGAATTTGAAAGGTACTACAGGAAATTTCTTTCATCTTATTTTTTTGTTCTGCTTTTCAAGTGGCTAATTACATGCAGTACTTAACAACTTTAATAGTTGACTTCTCAGTTTTCACTGACTAAAACAAAGTTATGAAGTTTGTTAAATACGGTTGTTAGGAAATTTATTGATATGGACATCAAAATAGTCATGCTAAAACAGAAAAACCATAAAGTTTAAGGAAATCGAGACCGGTTTTTCTTCGTATGATTAAGGTGTAAACTGAAATGAATTTTCCAAAAAGAAATTTTCATAATTTAGAAGATACAACTGGGCAAATGGTAGTCTTTTTTAATACGTGCAATAGTGAAGATCTAACAGTACCAACCTTCCAAAGAAACACTCAAATTGCGTAAGTGGAACAAGTTTAGGGGCGTCGGTTTCGTTTTTTTCGGAACTTTTCCTAACAGGAAATTCCTGCCTGTTAAACGTCATTTTTCTGGCAAAATTCCAATGTCTCGCGCCTTTGCAACACCCTTTACGGTTCTTATTATCCATCGCTTATTCAAGGACAGTTGAGCTTTGTTCCGATCAGTTTTTCTCCATTTGTTCTTGTTTTTTTTTGGCTCTTAATTTGTTTCATCAACTGTCCTTTATTGCTTTCTCTGAAAATGTTTTTTGAGCAAGGATATTCTGATTCGCGCTTGTGAAACTTGGTAAATGCTTAAATGATCTAACCTTTTGATATTTCTTTTTATATGACTGCAGTTGGGCGTAGATTATTTTTTTAGTTCAGCTGAAATACATTGATAAGCACTGTATTCTAGATTTGCA